TGTTCACTGCCGCTTTCTGCAATCACAAGACGTCCGACAAAGCGTTATGAGTAGCCAGAACCGCCTCGAAGGAACAGGTTAAGGTTCGGATACCTGATGATTAACTACTGTTTGTCCACAACTCAGCGCACTCACAATAAATTTGCTGGAGCTGTTCGCAGCGGATGCTGGCCGTGTCACGTAGCTTGGGCGCGCTTCTCCACCAGATGTGGAAGCTGGCAGATAGAAGCACACAGGGCACATCATTGGTTGCGGATTTTAGTCGAGTCCGTTATGAGCCGCACCCCCCCTTTTGGGGAGTGCGTACGACCTTCTGTTCTCCTCATCGAATCGAGGCCGATCGAGCGGGGAGGAGTTGGGGGGGTATATAGTACGCTGAGAAAGGGAAAAATCGAGGAAGTCAACCACACTCCTAGAAAGCCGCGAAGAATACGGCCCTCCCCCCTCCCACAATGAACAAGTACGAGCCCCTTTTTACAACGTCCGTGAAGCGAGAACAATCAACTATCAACCAAATTTTTCTCTGCCCAAATGCAACCCCCTCTCCTGGCGGCCAAATACGATCCCCTGTTGGGATTCCCAACACGATGTGCCCTGGATGGAAATGGGCTGGCGTTGCGCCAAACCTAGCTTCCCTCCCACATGACAGCCCCAGTACCCGCAGTGAGCGATATGTATGTACGACGCTGTGGAAAGGGTGGGGTATTTGAAAATTTTTGAGAATGCAGGTAGAGGAAGTGATAAGAAGGGCTCACCGTCCAAGACACTGCACGTTGAGGGCCGCATTTCCGTGAAAAAGCGTTCGTGACTGCAACTTTGCATTTCACGTGCATTTGCATTTACTTTGCATTTCGTTGTGTGTAATGTTTCGGGTCGGCGGCATTCCAAAAACCATACTTATGGTGTGGTCTGCCAAACCCTACTTTAAAGCGTACTCGACTAGCAATTTTATGGGAAGTTAAGCCCAGTTTAAGCTGGTATCAGAGCTGAGGTTAGCTAGGCATTTAATCCGATGGATGTAGCGGTTGCTTCTATACATGACAATGAACTGGGTCATGATTGAATACTTTGTTATGAAATCATACGATACAAAAGAGTAAGGGGAGAGGAGAGGAGGAGGCCGGCGGAGCTCGGCCAAGGCTTGAGACGACCAACATACACACCTCCGGGAACAAATTTTGCCAAACATCTTCCTCAGTTCCCTAACCTAAAACGCAGAACACTAATTCAAGATCGATCCCAAAAGAATGCATCCATTATCGAGCATGAGACTCATAGCAGCCCAACAGCTTCTTCCGTCTCCCAGCAGCCTCATGCGGCTGCTTCCCTTTCGTCTTGCCCTTCCCCTACTTATTACAATCAACAATATTATATAGGATCACATTTACCTGTGTCTGCCAGTGTACACCATCAGTTGAAGGCCCGTACACCCTTCAATCTGATAGTAGTGAGGGGAGAGGGGAATTCTACAAACCGAAATATTCAGGGCTATTGCACACTGAAAAATTTCCCAGAACGTGATAATGTACCCTGGGTCCTGAACTCTATCTAGGACCAGAGATTACGGGTGCTATCTCCTTTGCCAATGCTCCATGATTAAATGCCAGGCATTCAGTTTTCAGAGCAATCAGCCTGAAAATCTAAGCCTATACTGATAAGACCATCTTTACCGTCGCTGCAGCCGCTTGAATGCGCTATTAGAACCTTACGGTTGCCGAAGGGCCACCCTCTTTGACCACTACTACCGCACTCCTTACGCGGGATGCCAATTACAGCTTTCAGTCTTTAAAAGTTTCCAGTGAGCACGCTTCTGCTCTCTTTTGCCCCCCCCACCTCCTTTATCTGTTCCTTCTTCTTCGTCTCTTTCTCTCTCTCTCTCCCTCTCTCTCTCTCCCATGAACGTCTCCTCTGCATACACAGGATTCAAAGATCTGACTTAATGAGTTGGTTCCATTCGAACACCACAACGAAACACAAAAGACCAGGTCGATTGAATCACTCGCAAACGGCGGGGGTGCGGGTAACCCGTGATGTCGAGACAGGAAAGGGCATTTCGCAACCCGGCGGGTTCAAATTTAAACGCTCGACGGGGTCAGCTGAGCGCGAAGAAATAGCGTTTGATCAATGAGGGGCTGAGTCATCGTCTCCGACACTAGTCACACCACCCATACCGCATTAACCATTCCACAGCAATCTTACTCACTAGGAGGTTGTGGGGTATTCCTCTGAATACGGGGTAACCTCGTTTTTTCTTATTTGCACCATTTGTTTTCTTTTTCTTCTTTTATGCAAAAAAAAATCTGTGACATAAAAACAGAAACTACTGTGTTAGTTGGAAAATCGAACAAATGGCTTCGGTGAGAGAGGGGGATAGAAGGCTGAGGGCGCTGTTTGTCGACGGGGGGGGGCATTTTGTGCTTGCTTCCTCAGTTCCGGTTTACATGTCTCACTCTGGCGAAACCTGTGAACTCTTGTGAAGCTGGAACAAGGTAGTCAAGCCATCATGTTAAAACCTGTCAACTCGAGAAGAGGCTGTCTAGATAGGTCGACACGTCGATGGGAAGTAGCGAAAAGCGCAAAATGCCCCCCCCCTCGAAAAATGCCCAGCACTGAGTTGTTCAGCCTTTTTGATCTATGTTGCCCATTTCTCTTGCCACGGCTCTAGTGCGATTCTTGATCTAAGCTTCTGCCATGGGACTCCCCCCCCCCTCTTCCCCTTTTCACAACTCCTTCCCTCTGACCACCAACAAGACGCTTCTTCAAGCCACCAAGAGTCATTCAGTCAATAGTCGCTATAGAACCCATAGGACATGAAGTTTCACCAAGGGGGGCGGCGTGTGGGTTAAAGCATTTCATCTGCTTTCAAACTGGTCCTCGGTGGTGGTAGTAAGGACGAGGGCGCATTGCCTGTATCGCCGTCGTTTGCGCATCGCGTAAAAGTAGGGTGTTCTTTTTCGTTCTTGTCATGTTCTGCTGCTGGGAGCATATATTTCTTGCAAAATCCCCTCTCTCAAAAGTTCCGTCTTGGTAGGACCTTCTCCTTCACATCCCCATTCTACTGCCATCTCCTAAACCTCCCAATTCCCACCACTTGTGAGGTTTTTTTTCAGAATTTTTCCCGTTTTTCTCACAAAAAACCTCCGTCGAATGGGAGCGGGAGTGCTATAGCCTCTAAAGCTAAGAAAAAAACTCGTAACCAACCCCGACTACGAAGCATCCCACCTAAAGGCACAATACCATCCTCTTTCAATGCCAGAGACCTCAACAACACTTACCACCCCCCCCCTCCGTCGCTGGGCTGGCGATCCCCGAACTTACTTACAGTCCGCCTTAGGGTGCTCCACAGGTTAGCAGTAAGTGGCTGGTAGGGTTCGGCCACCCGATGAGGTTTGGTAGATCTAGAGCCGTTCAATAATAGGCGATGGTGACTTAATATTGACGAACCCCCTATCAGACGTTTCTCATCCAATTCTTCTCCTTCATCAACTTCTGTTACAGTTTTTTTTCGTTTCAAAATACTGAAGCTCACATTGGCCAAAGTATTCCCGAATCTTCTTTATACGACTCTTTGATGTAGTCTTTTCCTTTCGAACTGCACCATTTGTAAAGTAGTGCTCGAACAGTTATCTGTGTCTTCCATAACTCAAAGAAATTCGCCTACTTTTTTTTGCGAAAGTTCTTTTCTAGTTCAAATTGAGAACGGAGTATCTTTCTTGTCATTCCCTCGTAATGGCTGGTTTTTGCAACAATGCCGATAGAACGCGTCTGTGCGGGTGGCTCTTATCGCACTTGTAATCAAGTCGTCGCCTTCGGCTTTTTCCACCTACCCGACTATACATTCAAAAATATCCGGGCTTTTGTTCGGGTACTTGTACCAATATTTCTCAATTCCCCTTTCTTAGCCAAATGCTACTTTCGATAAAACATCGCGCCATTTAAATCTGGTTTCTTCCCTCCCACTTTTCTTCTTGCTGTCGTTTTGAGAAAGGCAAACCATAAACAGGGCAACCTTCTGCTGTTGGCGAAAATTTTTGCAAAATAGTACTCCCTCCACCCTCTCAAGGTCCCCCCTCTGGCACAATCCGCCTTCCCCATGCCACCATACATCTTTCTAGAGTTCCAAGTTCTCCGAAGTTTTTTTTTTTGAACATTTCGATGAAATTCACTGCAGAACTTCCGTCGAGCTAGGCAGGAAAGGGATGGGAGGGTGCATGGAGCGCATCTTGAACATTTTTCAGTTCTATTTTCGTCCGCAATCATATTGGCATTTTGAACGCGATTTGACGTCTACGATTATTTGCCAAGGCGTTCAACCGCTGTCAGTCTCCGCCTACTTCTCCGCGGTGACCGCGGAATCTGGCACTGATCTAGGGCCTCTACTCTTTGCCCGCACATAGTGTCGTGCCTAGTAGGGCACATAGACGTTTGGGATAACCCCAAATGCCAGGAACGGGGAGGGGGCTCGCTTTTAGGCCTAGAAAATTCTACACCATGGTATATATTTCCCGCTTGAAAGACCGGTGAAGGACGTTTCACACATAATTCCCAACCAGAGCACTTATGGGTTTTATCATAGGGGTCGCCACTTGGTCGCGTGGAGAGGGGAGGAAGGGCGGGGGGGCGGGGAAGAGGTTCGTTGCTTGCTTTTTGAGAAAGCATACTTACTGGTTGTTGAGTTATGACTTTCCATTACGTTTTCCAGTCCAATGTGCAGCGTATAACGATCGTCGCGTTCCCAGGATTCTTTTCGGAAAAGAGTGGTGAATTGGGCGGAAAACTTTGGCAAAAAGGTAGAAAATTGAGGAAATCCGGCGAGGTGGTAGTTAGGATGGGGGAAGGGACTGTCCTAGAGGAAGAAACTTGGACGGGCTCGTATTTTACCAAAACTTCCCCAACGCCTGGACGTGTCCCAACCAACATAATAAGCTCTTGGATTTGCTTGAAAGTCGAGATGTCTCATACATTTGGCAAATTGCCAAATGCTTCCATTTCAGTTCAGGATGCCTCCTTCCGCACTTGATGTGGAAAGGACACCAGAACGGAATCTTTGTTCCTCTCCAGAAGCTTCCGAAGCACATTCGGTGAGTTTAAAGAATTATTACATCTTAGCCTTCGCCTGCTTTCGTTGGTTTCCCACGTTTATCTGCTAATCATGGCTGAAAATGAAGTTTTCCTAAGGTTCATATTATGCGGTATGGTGGTTTCCTTGCTCAGGGAACGTGGAGAGCCTTAATTAATTGAAGACAAACTGTATATTCGCTTCTGCGGATCGTGGTTCTTGCTAATGAGGTGAATGGGTTCCAATTGTAGTACCGTACCACCTTCTCCGGTATAGCGTACACGGGGACAAAGCTGGAGGTAATGATATCCGTTTGCCAACTCCATTCTTCGCGTGAGGCCAGCCATGTGCCTAAGGCAGCGTTCAGAGACTTCGCGACGGCAGCGCTTCGGTTCGACGCGATCAATGCAGTCGAAAGCATGCGCATCGATCGCGTCGAACGCGCGACCGAAGCGCTGCCGTCGCGAAGTCTGAACGCTGCCTAACCACAGCCAAAAGCCTACTTTTCTGGCCTCTCTCACTTCTGGTTGTACTCTACAGCCGAAGGGACCTTACTAGTAATACAGGCGCTGCGTTGAGAATAGCGCGGGCGAAGGATGGAGAGCCGGCATTCGGTTACTGCAGCCCTACAATCCCGTTCTCGTCCACTTTCGAGCGGAGAAAATGGCACGCCACTGCAGCGCTGACCTATTCGCCTCGCATATGGCAAGGACTGCCCTCGGAGGTGGATATACAGCTGTCGCTGAAAGAAATTTCATCAGCAATCACCCGAACTTTCGTTTCGTTTAGTATTTTTTGAAAATAATTACTTAGAGATAATTCAGCGCTCATGGCATGCACTTCTTTCACAACCGCGTTCACTGAAGGTATGCAAACCACACAGCTGGGTCTATCCTCGTGGATTTCCTATTCTCAGACCGCGACAGGTTTCCAGAAACGGTATTCCGGCAGAAAATAGTAAGTCGGTTCTGCTTGAGGTAACATAACAAGTTTTGTTTTGCCATCATCAGTCATGGCCTTGGCAAAGGGCATTCGTCAATCGACAATAGCATCAGTAACACCTTCCATGTGGGACAGGAGATCCGAGTTGCGGTGGAACGCAGGCGCGTACGACTGCTTCGTTTTCTGTCGCTCTAGCTTCTCGCAAGCGACGTCGCTTGATCACATTTGGGGTCTCTATAACTAACTGAAGAAAGATGAAAATGTCTTGAAGCAGAGACGAAGAGACAGTAATACCGCGCGCGAGACACCGCTTACGATGCCGATATCGCCGTGCCGCCGCAACACGGATCACCTGACCGGCTTTTCAACAAGATATATGAAATCCCTGCTGCTGTTCATTGCAAGTGTCGTTTGGAAATGTACGGTGCTATTCCACGCCCCATTATTGCTTATTGCCTCTTGAAATCGTAATTGTGCGTGGAGGGTTGTACTTTATATGCAGAGCGAAATCACGTTAAATAGAGGACATTATAGCGAATTTTTGAAGCTTTGTTCACAAATTTTTACGCAATTTTTTTTGCAATTTTTTATTCTTTATGTTTTATTTTTTTTATTTTTTTTTGGCATATGCTGCATTCCTCCTGTCCGCCAATGTCTCTCGATGAAACATTTCGCGATTGTAGATAGTTTAAAAGGGAATCACATGTGAATCTGTAGGGGGCCTGTTGATTGGCATGTTGAGCGAAGATGGAAAGGAAAATTCCGTCGAAAGAAGTCGTTAGTTAGCCGGCTGATGTTGAGCTTAGGGGCGAGCATCTGAAGAAGTGGCATTTTGGAAGTGGGGAGAGCGGGCAGGGAAGCGAAATTCAGAGGCAAAAGCAAAGAGAGAGCAGAAAAGCAACCAGAGTACAGCATCGTGATGTGCGAAATGGCGGTGTCAGTACGACCTCCCCCTGGAAAATCCTGGTACGAACCCCCCCTCCCCCTTCCCGCTGCAAAATTGTTATACTTGAAGACGTAACAGCATCGTGGATGTGTGGGATGCATGCTTTAGGTTAGGCAAATCCGCCCCTTCGAGAGAGGGGTCGTGCGGTACCGACCCCCCCCCCTTCCCGCCAACACCTACTTCCCCCCTAACACCTACCTTCTAATTTTAATCCAAAAAGGGGTACATAGCCAATGTGAAACGACTACGGCTAAATTATCCTAACTTCCTTCCACTTTTTCAGGGATTTCCCAAAAAATTTCCTACTTTTCCCCAGAAATTTTGGTGTCGAGCCGGGGGGAGGGGTCTACGACCTCCTCCCCAACGACCAAATACGGTCCCCCTCCCCAGCGGAAAAGTACGACCCCTATGTCTTTCACACAATGATGCTGTACCCTGAAAGCAACCACGACAGCTAATTCGTTCTTGCACAGATACGAGCTCAGTGCTGTTCACCTCGAGGCGGGGTTGCTTAGTGAAGGGTGAGGCAACTGCAGCAAATGACGACCACAGCCTCCTCGTCGCTCACTTTGGAGCTACGAAAGTGGTGCAGCCTCGCGATTCTGTCTGTCGTCTCGGTCTCACAAGTTCATTCGTCGTGTAGATGAACTCAATGCTATTTATCTCTGAGCGGGGCTTCTGACTGGTCGGTGGAGGCTACTGTGGCGATTAGCGGCAGAAACCTCGCCGCTCATTTTTGAGTGGCGAAAGTGGACTTCGCAGTTATGGATTTTGCTACGCCAAAAATCCGCTCATAAGGTCATAGCTGAATAGGTCTTTGAACTTGTGGATTCAGAGCTGAATTTTTATTTCGATTGATTTGGGAGGATCGCTTTGCCAAGCACCATGCCGCGCCTTGTTTACTAGTTTCGATATAGGGACGTGAGTTGTTAAGTGCCTTATCAATGACATTTGTCTAAATTCAGTTGAGAAAACGTCTTCGATTTATGTGTATGAGAAGGAGAGAAGCTACTTCGAGCAATGTTTCAAAGAGCTCCGAGTACTTGGAAGAGGCTTATTTGGAGAGGTATTTCGTTTTCTACACTTGAAGCATCGAAAGCTTAATGCAGTCTTGTTCACTGTGTTTGCTAAGACAAGGTATTGGGCCGGGTTTGGCGCGTCGCCAGCCCGTTTTCCATCGAATTTAGTCGCTTCTCAGCTCCCAGAGTTGGTGGAGAACGAGTTGGCGGAGTGCCAAACCCAGCCCCTCTTACATGGCCCAGCGTCCGCAGCGAACAAGACTGTACTACTCAACGCTGAGAACCACCTCGCCTTCTTTCAGGCTCTGGAAGTGGAGTGTCGCGAAACAGGCAATCGCTATGCTGTTAAACGTGCCCTGCACACTTTCGAATCAGCTGGAAATCGACAGCTAAAACTTCGCGAAGCGACAAATCATGAGGCAATTCCTCCACACATGAATATAGTCAGATTTGAAAAGGCCTGGGAAGAAAGGTTCGTTCCGGACACATTTTCTACACACTAAATGTATGACAAATCAGCCATGAGCCGTTCTCACCTTGCTCTCAAATCTCCTCAAATCGAATCACTTCTTTTATTTTCCTGGATCATATTTTACCCCATCCTGGACGAGTCGCGAACAAATTGCCCCATAGGCTCCTTCACCAAGTGCTTTACTGAAGCGCTCAAAGTCTGCCCCCAGTTACCCCTAAATTTTTCTCTGCAGTGGATAATAGATATTTATGCGGGGGGGGATTATCAACACTCATTACACTTATTCCGCGATTATCGGGTAGGCGGAGAAGTGCGAAGAGACTCGAGGCCATTGTACCGTTTTCAGTGACACTCCCTTCTGTGCACCGAAGTTACGGGCGTGGAAGGTGTACTGGTTACGAGCCAGGGCACATCGAGCTTGGTTTACCAGGGCAGGGCACATCGAGCTTTGGTTAAGCGAGCTAGGGCACATGCGTTGGATGAATCCCAATGAGGGAGGGGGGGGGGGATGTGTTTAGGCTTTTTGGCCTTTCTAGAGTGGTTGGGAATGGTGGTTGACTTTCGTGATTTTTCCATTTCATACGTGCTATAATACCTTGAAAATTTGAGAATTGGTAAGAGGGGGGGGGTGTATTGTCCCGCGGCTTTTCCTGTTTTACATGTTCTATATACCCCCTCCCCCGACGACTCGATTCGATGAGGAGGGGCAGAGGGCCGGAGGTGGGGGAGGGGGTCGTACCAACCCCTAAAAAAAGGGGGGGGGGTCGTACGGACTCGACTAAAATCCCAACCAGTGAAGTGCCCTGTTACGAGTTCCCACCCTGTTCTTCGACCTCGCGCGACATGCTACTTTCAAGTGAACATTCTGGTTTTACGTAGCCCTCACAAGTTCGGTGTAGGAAAAAAGGGGCTTCGATCGAGACACGTCTGTGGCATAGATGAAATGGCTGAACCATAGGGCGTGTGTTGGGCGTGAATTGGAGCGCTGCCAAGGTCACCTTTTCCGCCAATGGTGCTATCCTGAGTTCGTAACAACTGGCGGGGAAGACTGTTCGAGCTACGCTCCACCTCCCGCTCCTTTAAACGCCATGTCGTTTGCAGGAATCATGAGTACACATCGCCAGTACGACCGCATCTTAACAGGAGGATCTTGGTACGACTCTCTCAAGA